AGTGTACAAAGTGATTCAGTCACACACACATACATATATATACACATTCTTTTTCAGACTCTTTTCCCTTATAGGTTATTACAAAATATGGAGTAGAGTTCCCTGTGCTATACAGTAGGTCCCTGTTGGTTGTCTATTTTATATATAGCAGCGTGTACATGTTAATCTCAGACTCCTAAGTTTGGTAAGTTTGTTTTCTATGTCTGTGGGTCTGTTTCTGTTTTGTAAGTAAGTTCATTTGTACCTTTTTTTAGATTCTGCATATAAGTGATATCATAAGACATTTGTCTTTCTCTGTCTGACTTCACTTAGTGTGATAACCTCTAGGTCCATCCATGTGGCTGCAAATGGCATTATTTCGTTCTTTTTCATGGCTGAGTAATATTCCATTGTATATATGTACCGCATCTTCTTTATCCATTCCTCTGCTGCTGGACACTTAGGTGCTTCCATGTCTTCGCTATTGTGAATAGTGCTGCAGTGAGCAGTGGGGTGCGTGTATCTTTTCGAATTATGGTTTTCTCCAGATATCTGCCCAGGAGTGGGATTGCTGGATCATATAGTAGCTCTACAGTTAGTTATCCTTTTCATCCTTATCATTTTCACTACCCAGGAAGCAGCCGAGGGGCGATGATTCCTTTCTTGAGACAACTGCACTCAGTAATCATGCTTCCTTATCAAAGTGTGTAAACCAGGAGGAGGTGATGGGGGTAGAGCCAAAAGAAATTTTAGTCAATTTCTGCGAAGGCTGTTCCCGCGGTCAGCAGTCCCAGGCGCTGGTGGGCGTAGGAAACAAGGAAGGCCAGCTGAAGAACTTAACTGTCAGCACATAGCTGAGTGGATTTTGCAATAAAAATACACCATTGTTGGACTGTAAATGTTCCCCAAACCTGAAGACAATATTCAGTTTACTTTCAAGGGCTATAATGATGTGACATCAGTGAGTTGATCTGCCTGGAACTTAAGCACTGTGACCTGAAAGGTGTCAACACTGGTAGTGCAGCCCGGTGGCTTCACGCGGGGTCGAAGTGTGACGTGGTCTGTCTGCAGGACTGGGGGAGGGGGGGTGCTCCAAGCCATTTGGCCACTCTTACCAGGAGACAAGTGGGGCCACTTTCGGCGGGAATCACAAGCCTGACTCCGAACCATATTGGTGCCTGGCCTGCGATGGCAACTGTGTTACGTTTGGTACAATGATGGATCCAGGCGGTGATGGCGGGAATGTGCGTGCAGCCTCACTCAGCCCCGGGATTCCAGGCGGCATCCTCGGAGAACAGGCCCTTGTCAGAGGCACCTACACGCAGTGCAAACAGCATCAGCAACTGTGACTTGTTTCCACCGTCAAGACCTCAAATACGGGAGCCTTTAGTCTGTTGGTGTGTAGTTTTTGAAGGAGCTAGAGTATTAGCAGCAACCCAAGGATAAGTGAAAATACAGCAAGACCCCGGGTTTCAGCTCAGCTGAACCATCAGTGAACCAGGCCCAGACGTGTTGGAAACCCCTGTGAACCGAGGGCTCGGTTGAACCAGTAGCTTTGCTGTTAAGTGGCCGAGGGTGTGTAAAGCTGCCCCCAAGGTGACAGCTGCCACTTTTTCCTGTAAAGCTGAGAAGCCGTGGGGCCAGGCTAGTTGTGTTCCTAAACAAGCCATTTCCGCTTACCAGGTGAGGCTGTGGGCCCTTCCCCCGCTTACCAGGTGAGGCTGTGGGCCCTTCCTCCGCTTACCAGGTGAGGCTGTGGGCCCTTCCTCCGCTTACCAGGTGAGGCTGTGGGCCCTTCCCACCCTGTTACTTGCTGAGACTGTCAAGCTGCCCCAAATGGAAGCGGGGGCTGGAGAGCCCCACAGCCCTCCGGGTCGGGCGCTCGGCTTTAACAGAAGACTCACAGCAGCAGACCAGTAAGGCTGGGCAGTAGGGGCTGCAGGTCACTGTCCGGGTGACTGGTCTAACCCTCAAGGAGGACTCTCGCAGCGAAGGCTGACTCTCTGTCAGGGCTTTCATCACCAGAGTTATCAGACCAGAGACCTGCAGCCGCTGAGTCGTGGTGTGCACGGCGCATCAGGGGAAGCCCCTCGGGCGCTGAGGCCCAAGGAAGCGGGGGGCGGACAGGTCAGCTCCAGATGGACATTCCGACAGGCGTGCAACCACAGTACAGTGAAGGAGCCTAAAAGGCCCCCCACGGGGCGCATTTGCGTCCCTTTTCCACTGTGATTCTTGCCTAAACCCCATTAATGTAATTCACATGCCCGTCCCACCAGGGAACCAGCTAGGAGGGCGACTTGTAAACAGCACAGTCATAAAACCTCAATTCCCTTCACTCTCCCTTCCCCACCCCCCAATATTCAGACCCGTGATTCCACACACACACACACACACACACACACACACACACACACCAGGGGCAGGGAGACCTGGGCCTCACCCCTAACCGGCTCTCTCCTGAAAGAGAGGCGCCAGTAGGAAGGGCCAGAGAATGCAGAGGGAGAGGGCCGCTCCAGCCCGCTAAGCAAGGAGCCTTCACTTGCAGTTTGGAGCCAGCTCGTGGCTCCACAGAGAGCCTCTGAAGTCTTGGGTCCGGCACCCTGGAGCACGAGGCCGGGTCCTCGTGACTGACACCGTCAACCTCGGCCTGGGGACCCTGCTCTCAGCAGCCCAGCAACGCTGAATCCAGCCTGGGCCGTGGGGCTCGCGCATTCCAGCTGATGAGGGGCTGACTTGCACAGCAGTGACTTCTTTTTAAGGGGATCATTTTAATCTGGGGCACGAGTTGTCCTATTACTAAGAAAATATCCTTAAATTCTTGCCCAGCTGATGTGCAAGGTCTTCCAGGGCTGTGGGTCTGACCTCAGTCATTTGTCTTTGTCAGTCTGTCTAGTCACTTGAATCAGCATCATCGTAAATCCAATTCAGGGCACGAAAGGTCCAGACACTGCCTACCTGACTTTGCTAGGGTTGCCAGAACAGAGTATCCAGGTGCTGCAACTGCGGAAATTTACTGTCTCCCGACCCAGGAGACTAGAAGTCCAGGATCAAGGTGTCGGCAGGGTTGGCTCCTTCCGAGGGCTGTGAGAAATACCTGTCCTGGGCCTCTCACATAACTTCTGGTTGGTTCCGGCAATAATTGATATTCTGTGACCCATGGAAACCTCAGCTAGGTGTCTGCCTTCAGCGTCACGTGGGTTCTCCCTGGGTGGCTCTGCGTCCAAACGTCCCCTTTTTCTAAGGACACCAGTCATATTGGATTGGGGTCCAGTCTATATGCTCTGGGTGACCTCATCGCAACTAATTACGCCTGCTATGACCCTATTCCCAAATAGGGAACGACACCGTCTACCTCCACTTACGGATTTTGGGGGGACACGGTTCAACCCACAGCAATGCCTTATCTGTGATTTCCACAGGAGTTTGTGTGTCTCCGGGAAATCCCCTCCAAAGAACCAAGCTCCCTTATGGCAGCCAGGACTACGGAAAAAGTCCAAGACCTCTGACTGTCATCTCTGCAAAGATCTAAGGTTGGCGTGAAAGTCTGCAGGAAGAGCTAAGCCTCAGACTCCCTTGTTGCCATCCTTTCCCCACAAGCATGATGCATCCGCAGGCGAACTAGCCAACGTTTCCGTGTTTCACCTGGTTTCTGCCCACAGGGCATGTGGATCGTCTTCCTTTTCACTGAGTGTAAATGTCCCTCTCCATTACTGTTGTCTGAAGAGGGCTGGAACCTTGCTCTAGTCCAGGACTGTTCTTTGTACTGGTTACGACGATGACATACATCTGAGGCTGGCAACCTGACTGGGGAGAAAGGCTCTCATCCAGAGGGTGTCAGCAACAACACAGCCACCGTTGAGACAGCTGAATTTGAAACTCCCGCCGGGTGCGTGACATGAAACTCCACCCCCAGTCCTTCCTCACTAGCAGACAATAAAACAGACAACCACTTACTACCCTGTGGAACGTGAAACTTGGTCACCATCTTTGCTACCGAATCCCGTGGACTCTTCCTTCAAATCCTGTCGATTGGCCCACAAGAGCCTCGTCCATCCTCTTCTACGAAGCCGTGTCTCCATCAGCATCCCATCCTTGCTGCCAAACCGTCAAGAACTAGAAGAGTGAGATTTTACTCTATTTGTGAGGTAACAGGTTAAACTGCTGTAGTGTCGTGAATTCTGGCGGAAGACACGAGATCCCTGGGTCAGAGGCAGAAGACTTCACCACTCAAAACGACGTCTAGAGACACACGGAGAACCAGCTTCATCTTGCACTGGCTTCCTGGGCCCTCACTTCCAGAGGACAATGTGATCTCTGCATACACAGTGGGCTGCATTATAGGACAGAAGCCCTGAGCTTAGGAATGCAAATCTTGCATAACGGGCGGGAAATATGGCTGCGCTTTTGCTCTGCGGGAGGGCATTATCTCACTTGCTAAGGCTGCCTGCTGTACAGACGTTCTTGAAAAGATCGTGTAAAGCAAAGGCAGACAGTCCTCCTGCTTCTCTACAAAATGCAAGGCAGTGATGGAAAAACGTCTCCTAGCAACCTGCGGCCAAAGCAAATGGACCCCAGAGCTCGCGCTACTCACCGTTACACTTGGATAAGCTGAGCGCAGTTTTATTCTCAAATGTAGGTTTTCAGAAAATGTATGGCTTTGGTTTTATTTGTGATTTGAAAAACTTGAATATGAGTTTTGTTGGAAAAAGGAGTTTTACAGACTAAAGAAATGTATTTTGGTTATACCGGGACTGTATTCAACGATAACTTTTTCAAAAGGGATTTTGGATACACTGACCTATACACAGCAAAGGCCTGAATTAAGAGTTTCTGGTCCTTTTTCTCCCCACTGTTGTGTTGGAGGTTTCCTCTGTCTGAAACGGCAAGACCCGCAGCAGAACAAATGTATTAAATATTGTTTTTACTTGATTCGATGGTTCATTTTCTTTTTAAACAGAGCTCATTTTAAATTTTAAGAAGATTTTTATTTAACACTTTTATTACAATATTTATATGGCAACAATATTTAACAAGCTTCTGAGACACAGGATAAATTTTTGATAGACTTTGCGACTCTGCCAGAAGCAGATCTCAAAATAAACAGTGTTATTTAAAGCAACTGTGAAAGTAATCATAAAAGAAGTGTTGTTAGTATCAAGGTTTTCAACACGAGGTTCACCAGCTATCCTATTTCACGTAGAGGAAAAATGAAAAGAAGTACTTGAACTAGAAGAAAAAGTGGGATACCAAGAGCAGTGCACATTTACCAAAAACTTGAGAAAATGTACTGAGAGATATGTTAAATATTTGCTAAAAAGAAAACTTTAGTTGCTCATATGTGAAGCCCCATGAATCAATCATTCCATAGAATCAGGAGCAAAAGAACTTCTTCCCTTTCCTCCTCAAAAATCAAGGGGTCACATCTATGCCAAAACTCAGACTTCTTCCAGTTCTTCGTTCTCTTCTCATTTCAAGTAGGATTTGCTGTTTCTTCCCTTCTAGATAATGTTATTAGCCTGAGGGTCTCTGCTACCTCCCTGCGGTGGCCTAGGAGTACATTCCAGGGAATCCCCTAACCTCTGGAAATACACATCAGTCTTGGGGTGTAAGGGCATATGCACATTTTTAGAAGGGTGATGGCCTATATCTCTTATCCAGTTCTCAAAGTGATTTGTGACTCAGTGAAGGTGGAGACCCACTGGCCTGTTGTAACAGTTTCTAGAGTAAAATATAAAGAAGATTCACTGGGGTAAGTGAAGAAAATACCAGAATTTCTATGTTTATATTCATGCTTGCTTAAAAATAAGCTTATTACTATATTATTTCAGACTGAGAACAACATTATATATTTATTAATCATAAATAATACTTATATGATAAAGTTTATTTTTATATACTTATAATAGATTGTCAACGTTCTGAAGATTTTACTAATGGTGTGCAGAATCCAAACGTCTGGAGAACACTGCTCTAGATTACTATCAAGCTGTGTCGTTAAGATCTTGCAGGGCATCTTTAATTTACATGTGGGAGGAGGTGAAGGAACAGTACATTCTCAAAGACTAAAACGTTTTTATCCACTTCAATTTTCCGACATACAATTTATCTGGGGAAGAAAGCAGCTCACTGTGATCGAACAGCCCTGGATGCCACCTCGTGGGGCATCATTGTTTCCAAAGGCACCGAATTCTGTGAGCATTGTCACTGTAACTTTCCAAAAGGCTTCAGCTTTACCTTTTTATTCGGGCGTGTAATACGATGGATTGTCCGACTTCTGTAACAGCACTTTGTTTTGCTTTAATTTTCCCTGAGATGACCTCATAGCTCTTCCCTCAATACAGATGGGTTTGGCAACCTTTCAGACTAAACAAACATCTTAGCTGATACTTTATAAGATTTGGGCATTATGCAAACTCGTTTTCTGCCAAGTGATCTTCTTCACGACCTGTAAGGTTTAGTTGCAATTTAATATATTTTTTGTTATATACATGTTTGTTTTAGTTTTTAGATTCTGCATATACGTGATAGCACACAGAACTGGTCTTTCTCTGTCTGACTTATTTCACTAAGCCTGATACCCTCCAGATCCATCCACATTGTTGCAAATGGCAGAATGTCTCAACATTAAATACTTAAAAAAATTGAAAGGCAGCAAAACCTTATCGAAAATCTTCTAATCTCCAAAATATCTGAGCTTAAGTCCTAGATCTGCAAATTAAATTTTGTCCTGATTTCGATCCCTGTGTTTCAATCTTAGATATTAACATTTTCCTGAAACTTAAGTTTATTACGATGAAAATGAATTTGCACTGATAGTAAAAGAAACCTAGCGTTTAGAATATCACATTTTTCCCTGTTTGGCTTAGTTTTAAAATTTGAAAGCTATGCGTTTATGAAACCTATGCTATCTTGGTTTTGCAGGCACTGAATACAGGAAGAACAGTTTTAGAGGTCAAAGTGTGTGGATTGTGTGAGTTGGTCAAAACAGATGCAGGTGTGACAGGTCAAGGGCAAGGCTGCTTCAGGAGAAATATAGGTGGCAATAAAGTGTAAAATGTTGCAGGTGGCTTAAAGTACGAACACCAAGTGGGTACACGTCACCGACACCATGAAAGAAGCATTAAAGGGAGCCACACTTCCGCAGTCTGGAAGCGAACAGGCAAAGGGCAAAAGGAAACTGAAGGCAGCCAGGACTGCAGAGGGCTAATCCCTTCCAGAAGCTCTCGCCTCTCACGGTGGGAGGATTATTCTTCCCCTTCACAAGAGAACACGATTTCCCAGGATTGAGGAAGAATTCCAGCAGAGAATGTAGGTCGCAACACTGTAAACTCTGGTCTACATTTACCTCTTGGTGTCCTCTGCCGAGTAAAGCAAGCCGTCCCTGCGCTTTTAGCCTGTTTGGACAAGGGGATCGCACTTTCCTATCGTCTCTGCAGCAACCTGAGGTTTGCTTTTGCAGGACGTGTTACGTCCTCCATTACAGGCTTTGCAAACCCTCTGGCCCAAGCCCCTCCGGACCGCCCTCCCCCCGCCCGTGTGTCACGTGTGTCACACCGCATCCTTCACCCTGCAAACCGGCCTGCACTTCACTTGTTCCCACGCAGCCGGCTCCACGGGGAAACGCACCCAAGCCCACCAGCAGGCACGACAGCTCTTTATGTTCTGTGGTTCGGGAAAGGGCCGTGTCCTGTAGAGTCCCTTCCACTGAGGAATGACGACGTATCCAGGTAAAGCCCACCATTTACAGCCGCAAGCATCCAGCGGCTCACTGGGCGTGGCTTTCCAGCCTCACGCAGCCTTAGGCATCGCTGGGGCTTTGCAGGTGGCGCTCGCGGGGCGAGGGCGAGTCTGCCCCCAGCCACTCCGCACGTCACTGCGCCTTCCCTTGCTAGCCCACCGGCCCCGGCCAAGCAGCCTGCTCTGTGCCTCACCATAGCTGCCCCGGACGGACTGGCAACGTCAGGGAGGAGGGATTTGGAGGACGGGCCAGTAGAACGCTGCAAAAGCCCTTCCCACCCAAGAAGTCATGGAAACAACAGAACCTGGCGTTCTTAGGAGGAACCGGTGGCTTGGGACCCACATTATATACATTTTAGGACAGTTCACTTGGCAGTAAGATTCGGAACCCTTGGCTCCCAACCCTGTCAGAGACCCTCTGTGTCCATCCTTTTCTGCATCCTCAACCCCACGCCAGCCTCAAGCCCCCGTCCGGGTCCCTCACTTTCCTTGCGAACATACCCTCGGGCTCCGTCCCTGCCTACCCTCAGTGGTCTGGCCATGAATACGTCTCCCTCACCTCCACCCTCCAAAGTGGATCAGACAGAGATGGAAAAGGGATTCCTTAAAGTTTTCAGCATCCAAGTTGCAGATTTTGAGTGCATTCCATCATGGAGATGTTGTATGTCCATCTTGCTTAAGGGCTCTGAGGTATCCCATAGTTAACGAGCCTTTGCAGGCTGGTCTGGGGAATCTTTCACAGATGACTTAATGTTTTCGAGAAAATACATTTTTGGTAACTTTTTATTTGGATAAAATATCAAACTTATGGAAAGGTTGCAGGAATAGTACAAGGAATTCCCATGGAGCTTTTACCCAGATTGTTCACATTTTCCTCCATTGGTTGTGTGTGTGTTTGTGTGTGTGTTTACACACACACACACAGAAAATATTTTTTGAATTCTAATTAATTTACAACTTTTGGAACATAAATTATTAGCAAATTTGGGTCTGCTAAAATAGGTGATAAATAAGACACATTATTTTATGCTTTTTAATTTCCCTTAATTCCTAGTATTTTCCCTGTAATAAGGGCTCATTTCCAGAAAGAAAAATGTATTTACTTTCCTTTTAAATACTTTTATTAACTTCATATAATTGTGAGACTATGTTTTCCCGAGGCCTGTGATACTCTCCAATAGTAGGATTGGTATTTAATGAGCCCTGTTCAGTACCTCGAGACACCGGAGCCTCACTGAGTAAATAATAATTATTGTGATATGTATAGTAATACGCCAGGGATGCTAGAGGCCAGCCAGTAATGGCCTTTATTCCCGAGGTCACCATGGACTGGCCTGGGGAGGGACTAGTGGAGAGAACTGTTAAAAATTCCAGCTGACTTACCCCTCAGATCCCCAAATAAGAAAGAGTTCAGTGTATCTATAGCTCTGCTAATACTGATTTAAACCCTGTAATGTTCAGCTTTCTCTTGCTTTGAAGTTGCGTTCTTTTTAAAATCAGATCCTTATCTCCAACCAAACTCTGCATGTTACTTAGTTCACCAGAGATCTTAGACTAACATTATTAAAAGTTTACTTTCCAGAAAAGTGTTTTGAAATTACTACAATGAAATCACAGCATAATTTTCTTCATCAATATTAACATCCTCTTTAAAAATATCATTGAATTAATTTCGCTAGAATAAAAAATTCACAGATGTGTACTTAAGACAAAGAGTCCTGATGGTTCCAAGGACATATATACACACCAAAGTGTTGAACACAAACACTTAAAAAGTAAGCTATCAGCCAAAAGAACAAGTCTTATTTCCCACTTCTGAACTCCAGATTTTCCTGATGGGACTTTACACGGCTCAGCCTGGCAATGGAGGGTGTCTGCTGAAATAGGCCCAGATTGCTGCTGTACGCTATGATTCATTCCCTGAATGCTGCCTTTACTCCATGTTGCTTCTGGGTAAAGTAAATTAGAATAATATTATTGCATTTTAATGTAGGCTGTAACCCTCTTTTATCCTGAAGATTATGACACAAAAATGAATTAATAGAAATGAAACTGCTCTTATGAATTAAAATAGCCTTTCCCATATACAGACTTTTTAAAATGTCAAAAAAGGAAATATTTATTGTTACGACACATTACGTTGTGGAGAATATTTTTATAAAATCATCTTTGATATTTACAGAAGAACTACTTTAGATTCATATTGCATCTAACCCATAATGGCTTATTTTCTCTAAAAAAAAGAAAAAAGTGCAACAGAAGAAGCCTCAATCTGTTTTGTTATGTATGCTAACAGTTAAATGAGGAAATGTAACAAAATGCAGACTTGAAAGGTTCAAGGAGCTTAGGGTATCAAAGACTATGGTTTCTATTCAAAAAGCGTTTTTAAGGCAACCAACACTACGAGAAGCGCTTTGATAACCAGGGTGTTTGGCCAGGGCAGAAGGCAGGCGACTCCACCAGGCTGTACAGGTCACGACAATCGCCCGATATATGAACAAGGCGCTCAGTTCTGAGTATAGGTTATAAGCTATTCTTATATATCAGAAATACTCCCCCAAAGTCACTTTTTGAGGCTTCTTTCTTTCCTTCTTTCTTTCTCTCTCCTCTCTCTCTCTCTTTCTATCTCTCTTTCTTTTTCACTGAAGAGTTGAACATTGAGGTGAATACATTTTTGTCATGTTAAGTGGAAGGAAAAGCAGGTGGTGACTTAGCTCCCAAAATGTTACCACCGCTCCTGAGCTCGCTGCCATCCCAGTGTGCTCTCAGAAGGTCCACACACGCTCCAAGGACTCAAACCCAGAGACTAACAATTGGGTGTATATTTGGCTAATCTATTCCCGATGCTTTGCCTAAAAAATTGGCATTGGCTTCCTCAACATCTTTCTTCTGGAACCATGGCTTTGAAGTTGTTCCTTGTTGATAAGCTTCCAGAAAATGACAGATTCCAGGAATGTCACTAGGAAAGTTTGGTGGGAGTTCCTCCCTTGATCGAGGTGTAAACACAAAACCAGGACAGTCTTTGAGTAATCTGGAAATATTGAAACACAAATATTAATCATAAAACTTAAGACTGACGTAACTGTCTAGTCAAGAAAAGGTGACATAACTAAAGGAACATTCCTGAGAATATTAATAAACCAGCCATCTTCAGTGTCACTGACGGGAAAAATCCCAATGATGTTTATAAGCATCTTCACAGAAGAACGGCAAGGAGTCAATGCACAGTAACAGAAAGCCCTACCAAATAATGTAGTTCACTCATATTAGGAAAGATAACTATCAAATAGTCTTGTAAAGGTATCATCTATAATCTATAGAACAGTGCAGTTCACAGCAGTGGGGGAAAAAAACCCAAACAATGCAAAAAGTCTAATAATAGCAAAAAATACATGAAAATAATGTTACAGAACTGGAAGAGTTGAAAGAGATAAGACATTGTCAATTCATTCATTTTCTAAATATTACTGAGAAGTAAGCTTGGGCAAGACCTTGTGAAAGAAAATTCTATGTAAGATATATATCTACATATAAAATGTGAGAGTAACTTTGGGATCTCGCAATAGAATTTTTAGGAATTCCAAGTTAGTAGGACTAAAGTGAGATTTAGTTGTATATATCGACACTCTACTTACTATCTGATATTTGCAATATATTTTCTTCTTAAATTCTTAAGAATTAAATTTCACCTTAAATTCAGATGTTCTACAGGCTTTTATTATTTGCTGCATTTGTCCATGATGATAAACTCATTTGAAGCTCTAATCATTTTGATTAAGTTACTGTCTCCTCTTCCCACTTGCTTCCCTAGCTTTCTGTCAAATGCAAACTTAATAAGCATCTCTCTGATCTATTATTCAGGCCGTGGATGGAAACTGGCTGTAAACCAGCTTCTGCAGAAAATCTCTCCTCGTATCTCCCCTTCCACTCCCCAGCCTGCAGTGAAAAGAGTGACGATGCTGCACGAGACTTGGGGTCGCTGACGCCCCTCTGTGTGCTGAGGAAACCGCTGCACAGAGGTGCAGGTCTCAAGGATCACAGACCTCAAGTAGAATACAAGGGAGTGTTCAATCAACTAATTTTTATCAGTGCACCAATAAATATGTAGTCTGCAAAATCATAAGACTAATGAAATGATGTTTTAGTCATGGATTTGTAAATATTTTGAGTACCTATTATTTTTAAGGCACAGTATTTGGTAATATATAATGAAAAATTACAGAATTCCACACAATTGAAAGTATAAGCTTCAAAGTCTGGTAGATGTAGGTTTGAATAACAGCAAAGATGTCAGATTTCTAGCCTTTCAAATGGGGATTAAAATAATACATGTCTCTTAAGACAGTTGTGAAGATTAAATAAATTGAACAAGATTGATTAAGCATCAATTAGATATCACATAACACCCGTCATATTGGCACCAATCAGTCTGATAATATCAGTCACTGGGAAACAGAAACCTTCAGGCACCGTGGATTCTATTGGTACATATTACCAATATATACCAACAGACTGGTGAAATCAATCTGGACAGCTAACTGGTGCTTAGCAGAGCCGAAACTGGGTATAGCCCACGATCCGGGAATACCATTCGTAGGTATATTATCTAGACACATATGTTTAAGAATATTTATCAAATCACGTTGTGTAATAATGAAAAACTGGCAATCCTCTAATTACCCATGGATAGAAGACAGACTGGCTTATTTATACTCTAGAATACATATTATGTCACACGCACATATGGGGACATGGTAGATTTATCTCATACCAGCTTGTGAGAAACAGCTGTTAAACACTCTGGAATTCTGCAAGCCAGTTAAACCATCGGTAGCCTGAAACCTGCCACGGTGATAGTATTTACACCTTAAAAACTGGTAAAAGCTAGAAGTCAGGGGGTATCCACTTCACTCCGCAGGCTGGTTTACCAGCACACCACTGCATTAGGAATACTGTAAATAAATGAACCAGATTTTTGTGAACTGGATTTATATTTCATCAAGAAAAAAATCTCAAAAACATAGTATTGAGTGGATTGAAGGCAAGTTGTAAAAGGGAATGGGTGGAATCTATTTTCCTCTGGTTTTATTCTTCTATCTGGAGCATTCAGAAGTGGCTTTAAAGCAAATCACTTGAATGTATGAAGAGCCTCGCTCCAGATCGCACATCTGGTAAGCCCTGTGCTGTAGGACACGTCTTCTGCCTACAAATCCCATGCTTTTTAAAGAGACTTACAGATGTTTTGTTCATTAAATCATCTTTTTAAAAAGATCCAAATCTGTAAGAAAAACAGGTTGGAAAAATAAAACCATTTAGAAGAAAGCTTGCGTAAGATCCAAGAATAGTAGCCACAGTCCCAGGGCAGATGCTCACATGTGGAGGGAGGTTTTCTTTATCCCTCCTGACCGGACATGGTTTCCTGCAAGTGGCTGCATCAGCTCTCCTAATTCGGTCATCGTCCCATAATCCCTTATTCTCCTTGTTCCCTGGTGGAATTCAAGTCCTGCTTCTGTGTCACTGGTCAACTTTCCCGCCCGCACGGGGCACCTGCCAGTTCTGTCTTTAATGATCCTGCGTCACTGCACGCAACCCTCCCTTTAATCCACTGGCCCCAAACTCAAACGACGTTGAACCTAGTGTCTGTGTTCTCTGCACTTCAGTGAAAACAAACAAAAATGCGGGAAACCGTCCCTAGAAGAAACTCCTCATGACATTTAAAAGAAAGGAATGTCTAATTGCCATTACATTCTAAATTACTGACCAGAATTTGGAAGTGGAAGTTTGAAGGAAATGGATAGTTTTGGTTGTGGGTATGCAGTCTGTGTCCTAAAGTGACATGTGCTTCATAAATATATCAAGGAAGTTAACACTTCCTAATATTATTGTATTGGGAAACGTCATCCCTGAATTCAGTGTACTATCAATAAAGCTCTGCAAAGAAATAATTACCTTTCGTATTTGTATAACTTACAGAATCTCCACTTGTCCTGAACTTAAGAAACACAGGATGAGCTGAGATGAGCACCTGAGGGTGTGTCCAGGGCGGGTGAGGAATGTGTCTGTGAAGACGCGGCCTCTGACTTAAGGTCTGATGTGCGAAGGAGGAAAGCAGGGGATGACCCGGGAGAGAAACACAAAGCAAGCATCCTCCATTCAGGAATCGGTTTGGCGAGCGTGATGCATAAAAACGAGGCCGGGTTGCAGGAGATCCATGAAATAAGGAGGGAGTGGAAGAAACCTTGGTGGTAGGGTCTGGCGGGACTCTGGTCAGAGGGAACACGTGAGTCCGTGGTTGCACGTTTAATTTTGTTCTGGCTTGTAAGGCCGGGGGACGGATCTGGCCTGTGCTTCACGAAGAGAACATGGGTACCACGTGGAGGGGAGCCTGGGTGTGAGTAGCGCCGCGTGCAGCACACTCACCTGTGGTGGGGGCGGGGCGCGCACGGGGAAGGCGAGGGCATGCCAGGGTGCTGGTGCCAGGGACCAGGGGCACGGCGGCCCTCTACCGCCCAGTCAGGAGACTGATGGAGCTTGGCCGGTGGGAAGTGGATGTCTTCGGGGTGGGGGGTGGGGGGAATCAGCTGTTCTAATAGGATCGCATTGCCTGTAATGGGCCAATTAGTCACCCGAGCAGAAATACAGGTCAGAGCTTACGAGTGGAGATTCTCAGTGGAGAATCATGGGTCGGGCTGGAGATCAAAGTTCCCACGAGGCTAACGCGCAGTTTAAAAAGAAAAAGTTAAAGTGAGGATGATACAAGTTATGGCTTTTCTCTTCCTTTAAGATGATCTAAGCAAGAACAAGTTATGAAGAATGAAACAAACCAATGGACAAAAATGACGACTGCGTATGAATGAAAATAGACTTCAGGCACTGAACGGGATCCATACCTGTAGGTGGTAGGGCTGACGTTGATTTTCCGGGGGACACTGCAGGACTCGAACTTGTTAGCCAAGGTGACATTATTTCCAAAAAGGCAGTAACGGGGCATCTTAACTCCGACAACTCCGGCAAAAACCGACCCAGAATGCAGTCCAATGCGCATCTGAAAGCAAGAGCAACGCAACGTTCCGGTCATGGGTGAACACTGCTGCTAGTCAGCGCCGGCTGCGTGCCTGTCGAAACCACCGGGCTCCTGGCTCTGCCCACAAGCCCTCCTTCCTCCAAGCCTGCAGCCCATCCCCTCTCCTAGCCACCTCCTCAGCCCCGCCTCTTCATGCTGCTCACAGAGCATCCTTTATCTCAACTGTCCTCCGCATCTGAATCGAAGCCCCCCACGAACGGACCACAGTCACCATGGTGACCAAAGTGCCCGTGGACTGTTGACGTGAACCTGCTCTGTCCGTCGGTGAGAGAGACCTGACTTCCGGCGCCCAGAAGTTGTTTCCCAACACGGTCAGAGGGGTCCAAGAAGCCAGTGCTCAGGACGCAGAGGGCGGGTTTTTAGGTGTTTTGCTTTAAAAGGGCCTTTGTGCCAAACACTACCTCACTACTCAAATGACCGAGTGCAGAAAGAGAATTGTAATATTTAAGCAGAAAATGACGGAGGAAGCGGAAAGCTGGCATTGCTGACGCCTGCGTCACAGTGACTACACACACGTCAGTCAAAAACATCTGGACCCGAGGAAAACCAGAGTCCTGCCGCATCAGGATAGGCTGAGGTAAACGTTGAGACACCCTGAAAGCTATCAATGATCTGGAGACCAGTTAAGACAATGTTTTAAAGTGGGATCTTCCGGAAGCTCCAAATACTGGCCAATCTCAGAGGAGGTACAGATTTTAAATTACTGCTGCAACGGAGCAAGTTAAAGGGGGGATGTTTCAAATGACAGATACCATGCACGTTACTTTCAGTTCTATGTTTAGCTGACCATTTGAAACAAGTTTTATTAGATGTGCGTATTGTACACAGAGGCCAAGTACTCAGTGACTTAGATGTCCTTTAGAATCCAGAAGACTCCAGATCTCCCTAGTTTTACAGCTAATTTCAGATCTCTTCTAGAAACTTCTGAGAATCATTGGCTTATAACAAGTCAAATCATGAATTCTGCAAAATTTTCAAACAAAAGCCCTACATCATGAATCAGGAAATTTGTATTAGAAACCAAAATGGTGCTGATAGCTGGTGCTCTGACCTACAATATTATATTAGTTTCAGGCGCACAACACAGTTATTTCATATTTTATAGATTACACTCCCCGCAGAGTTGCCATAAAATAACTGTACTTGATGTGCGGTCCATGACATCCTCGTAACTTACTTATTTCACACCCAGTTGTCTGTACATCTAACCCTCCCTCCCACGTTCCCCTCCCTCCACCCGCTTCCCTCTGGGACCACTGGTTTCTTCTCTGCATCTGGTAGTCTGACTTTCTCTAAATCTCCATATCTCCCTTGTACTCTTTCCTCGCCTAAAAAATGCAGGGTTGGATTCTTTTTAAAGTTCCTTCTTCATCCAAGTTTTACTTTAAGCAGAAAAACATAAATGTCTATTACATTCTGGCTTTTTCTTCCTTAGGAGAATATGGTTCTATATGTAAACACTATGACAGTGAACAATGTAGACACATAAAATGAGGTGACAAAAGGCTATCTTCTGCTTATAAGTATCAGGCAGAATTTTAGAAGTTTTTACTGACTTTGGGCACTCTTCTGGTTAAATCAGTTTCTCTCTTTGTACCTAGTCACTCTAGCTTTTCTTTTTTTTAACATCTTTATTGGGGTATAATTGCTTTTCAATGGTGTGTTAGTTTCTGCTTTACAACAAAGTGAATCAGCCATACATAGACACATGTTCCCATATCTCCTTCCTCTTGCGTCTCCCTCCCTCCCACCCTCCCCATCCCACCCCTCGAGGCAGTCACAAAGCACCGAGCTGATCTCTCTGTGCTATGCGGCTGCTTCCCACTAGGTATCTACCTTACGTTTGGTAGTTATATATGTCCGTGCCTCTCTGTCGCTCTGTCACAGCTTTTAATACGACAAGTTTACTGTTTCTATTGCATAATTAATATGGAAATGCGTAAACATTTCCTCTTCGTAAACATCCAAACAACGCAGACAAAGCCAGTGTCTCTGCTTCCTCCCCTGCCCCCCAACTCCCCTCCCCCAGCCCTGAATCTCACTCTCAACCCCAAAGCTTCCTTATACGGGGACTTTTCAAATTCACAAGCACAATAATGGTCCAAAGTTTAACAGGCCCGTCACGCCCCCAGTGGAAACCTGCTGGGGAGTCTCCCCTTTGGGGCCACTTTTGATGTAGCCCCTCTGCACTCAGGTTCTGGGGCTGGGAGGGAGGCTCCCAGAGCCTGTGTCGGAGTTCACTCTGCACCTTCTGACTCAGCCTGGCCCTGGTCTCCATCATGAGATAGCGTCCACCCACCCACCGTCTTCCAAGTCTCAGTGGGTGGACGTTAGTGAGGAAGTCGGTAGGAATAAGTGCATAGATGGTTTGTACATACGACACGCTGGAGAAAACACAGAGTTTGAAAAGAAAAAAAGAAAATATTTCCTATTCTTTCACTGTGATTCCGTGCCGTGGGGCAGGAGGGTAAGAAACACATGACTCCAAATCTGGATCCGTGAGAGACTCGACTACTCTTGTCTAGCAGTGAATTGTGGATGCCTTTTCATAATGTTGTTATACAGATTTTAAATAAGATGATGTTTAAGTCACAGTCTGCTCCCTGTGATACACATTAGTGCTTCTCTCTCTACTAAAACTACTCTGCACTTCTGCGTCTGTGATATTTCATGAGTAGCCCCTAAGGCTGTCAGGTATTTCCTAGGACTGCAGGTCAATACAAAGAAAAAGGTGGTTTAACATCTGACTTTACAGCTCAGTAAAGCTAAACTATTATCACCCAGGTAATTATCTTTGAAACTAGCTATAAATAATTCTTGCAATTGCGAAACTCTAAAAGTGTATTTCTACAAATATCAAAAACCCCCCATGCCACTAACCCCCCTGCCCCAAACATACACATCTTATTACAAAATCCATTTATGTGGAGATCACTGGTTTTATTATTAATCGGGATATTTTAAGCATTTACTTTGATGCTATGAGTTTCCTCACCAAAAAAAGACAAAACAACAACAACAAAACACAAAAAAACACATAATTCTCTTCTAAAAAAGTATAGAAATTAAGCATCTGGGAAAGTCAGATACTGTGAAACTTTTAAAGCACAGTGGAAAATTATGTCGCGTTCTTCCTATTGAAACCTGGGGTCTCAGTCTTCTCCCCTGTGGGCAGGCTTAGGGTTGCTGTGACCATTAGGACAAAATGGATGTGTCACAGTGTATCTCCTCAGGCCAGGGTATAAAGGCCATGCAGTGGATGCAGACCTGTTCACCGGGACGTGGCCCCTATGTGAGAAGTGGGACGGCCCCGAGGCTGCACCAGCAGAGCGTGACAGGTGAGCACCTGGGCTGATAGTCCCAGCTGGGCCCCGCCCTCCGCCAGCCCCACCCAGGGAACCAGGCCGGCGAGTGAAGCTCTGGTTCAAGTGGTGTAATCCCAGCTACCCGACGCGCCCTCGACCGCTGAGCTGCCAGATGCTGTGCGAAATGACGAGGTATTCCTGCTTTGCCTCATCCAAATTCCGACGCACAGAATCCGTGCAAAATAAAGCTCTGTGGTTTTACGCCACTAATTTTAGGGAAGTGTGTCACACATCGGTATGTAACTGGGATGAGAGTTCACTTAGAAGATAGCTGTGAAGGCTTACACATACGGCTTCTGTTAACAGGGAAGAGAGCCCTGGCTAAACGTCCAATTTTTTCCCTCCTTCTCTCTATATTTTATATCATGCCGCATAGGATTCCATATTACTTCAAAGACCCATTTCTGAAGGTCATCAGCTGAGACTGTTCTATGGCACATTCACTTCAAGTGGGACAAATAAGGATATTCCACTCATGTTTTATCTATTAAACCAATGGTTAGCATGTTAATTTTATTTTCTCATCTGCTATAAGACATTATTATTCGGGGATATGGCTCGTCTAGAAATTTTGGAATTTTATGTGTCCTGGAAAATATTGGTGGGTTAGCAGCCCACTTCATTCTCGTGTAATTCCTCCCCTGCAGGGCTCAAAAAACTAAACATTCCATTTTCCAAAGTCCCTTGAAGGTTCTAGATGTACTTAGGTGTGGTGAATCGGAAGCCCTTGCCCGAGCTCTGGAAACCTGCATTTCTGCCTGCACTCCCGGTGTGAGCACGGCTGGGGAAGCCTTTGTGTTCTCTGTCCCCTGCTTAGCAGGGAGCCCAGTTGCCAGTCATTCATTTTGGAAGAGTCGTGATGCGGTATTTCCACGTTGCTGATGCAATTACAGTAGCTGCAACTTTCTTCTACAGCCAGCAGTGGACACAGCTGCTTTCCGAGCACAGTGGTTCCCTGCCTGGCTGTGGCTGTGTGGTTCTGGAACCAGCTTCCAGGTCACGGAGGAAGCTGTGGTTCTGAAGTGTGGGTTTGGGAACCATTTTTTCAAAGCTCAAGCCATGGATGGCATCTTTGGTCTCTAAGTGATCTGTAAGCCATTTAACACCGCGTAGTAAAGCAAGCTGGAGATTTGCTCTCTGCCACTAAACCCTGAGGGATGCACCATTCTGTTGGGATCTAACTAGTCAGCATTTACTGTCCTGACATCTCCTGGCCAGGACGTGATACGCCTCACCTTGATGGGCTCTCCGTGGGGAGACACCACTTCATCAGAGAGCTCCATCATCTTCAGGGCCATCAGTGCGATCCGAACAGCGTGGGTGTCACTCTCTTTGTGCAAGCCCCCAGCCACACAGTATGCATCGCCGATGGTCTCCACCTACACACAACGGATTTTCCACGTTACAAACAGAAGCTGAGGAAGCATCACAGTGCATATCATAGAGCAGAAATTAAGAATCATGCAGCAGACACCTCAGCGCTCAGGGCCAATGGAACATCAGAGCAAATCACAGACTCTTGGAAAAGGCTTTCCTCCCCAGGAAATGCACAAGGTGAGCGGCAGTGCCGCGCCGTGAACACAGTTTCGGGAGGGGCTTCTACTCCCAGGATCGCCATTGACTCACCTCCTTCTTTCCCCACCACGTAAAAGGGCTTTGTAGAAGCAAATGACGTACTTTGGGTTTATACTAAACTGTTTAAGATATTGGGTGATTTTATACCCTCTCGGCATAAAATACAGCGTTCTGAACAAAGTCACTACTGAATCAAGGCCCTATGAATTTATTAAGGATGTGCCTGGTTAAAACTGTCATTTTAGCTTTTCAAAGGGACATTTGGGGTTGTCATAGCAACGCTAATCACAAAGTGTAGAAACCAAGATGTCAAGCCCAGAGGCAGACAGTGGTGACTGGAAGCTATTGGAATCAGGCTCTTCTGTAAATTTCATGTACGTTACTATCATTGTCATGATTGCTGTTGCTACGAGTGATTTTTATCTGTCGGTGACCCTGAGTACAGAAAGCTAATGGTTACTTTAAATCCACAAATAAGCCACCAATTTGTAATAGGTACATTTTTCTCCTCTAAATATTAATTGTAACTTATCAGATCATATCACTGTTCTGATCCAGAGCTTCCAATCTAGGGGGACGGAGACGAGAGAGGAGAAGAGAACGGGGACAAATTTCAGTGACTCCCTATTTCATGCAGAATAAATGCCGGAGCCCTTAACATGCCCCCCAAGTTCTTGCCCTGCCTTTCCCCTGCCCTCAATCCATCTCCTAACTCTCCCTCTTGCGCACTGTGTTCCAAGCCAGCGGCCACCTGTTTCCCCTCAAACATACCAAACACTTGCTACTCCTCGGTCTGGAACAGTCTTCCTGCAGGTGGCCACCTGGCGTGTCCCTGGTCTCCTCGGGCCCTGCTGACACCCGCCTGGCGAGGAAGGCCGATCCCGCCCACGGCCCATACCTGCTCCATTTCCTACTAGGAGAGCACACCAACAGGGATGCTGTTGGAGTTATGCCCGTTTGTTGGCTTTTCTCCCAGTAGGACACAAGCTCTCGGAGTCTGTCTCATCAACTCCTCCATCACTGGGGCCCAGGCTGTTCACCAAGGACACAGCCCGGCGGCCGGGCATCCCGAGAGCATCTCCTCAGCACTACAGGCAGAGAAGCGCTCAGGCTAACGGCTAACCTGTCACAGGGCTCAGGAAGTGTTACTAAGTAGGAGAAGGGCACCCTCGTCCCTACTGGGCGTTGGGTGCTGTCCTCTGTGCTGCTGCAGCCCCTGCAGAGGTGAGAGTGGTATCGCGTCCCCAGTGTCACAGGGAATCTGCCCTGTGCGTCTCTGTGTGTCCCTCCTCTGCCCGCCCCCTGCCGTGGACTCTTTTCACAGGGAGTGTACCCCCACCCACGCTGGCCAACGCTGGAGGACCAGTAAGAATGTGCCGAAACAACAGACAAATACACACTCAAATAAGCAGAAAATGACCAAGAGATTGAAAGACAGAAAGGAAATGTAACTGAATGAAGTCCTGGTCCAGCCGGGTCCTGGAATAAACAAGCCTGACTGTTCCTTGGAAGCCACCACGGGCACAGGTCAGCCCCTGATGAACACTTTCTATATCTTAAGGTTATTCCGAGGTGAGGACCCTCCCCCGTTTGTTCACAGCATCTCCAGGTGTTTCCACGCGGAGTCGGCATGAAGAGCAGGTGAAACAAGGATGCAGGCTCTCTGGCTGGGGCTGCGGCTGGGCCCCCAGGGGTCTCTGCGCCCGCACCCTCATCGTGAGGTACAAGATTCTGACCACTGGGGAGAATGACCCATATTTTAAAGTTTCAACAGGGCGAACCGTGCAGCAGCGGGCAGCTTCTGCGAGCAGCCACAGCAGTTTGCAGAAGACAGGGAGACCTCCCAGTTCTGAGAGGAGATATTCTCAAGGCATAAACTGTCTACAAATAAATACAGTGAATTCCACAAGAGGCCATGAGGCTTAACCTAAGTGAAGCCAATTATTTTATCTGTAATTATGCATGGACCTCTTTTTTCCTAAGGGAATCATAGCTCTGTCTGGAATTTCCTGTTACAAATTTTTTAAAAGGAAAGTTTTACTTCGAGCATCTAGATTGGAACAAAGGAGGGGCTTATAGAGTCCCATAAATCATTTTTGTTTCCTCTTTAATCATTTATTTATCTTCATGTTGCATTAAGCTCTGAAATGCCAGAGTTTTATGTGGCAAATTAAAAGATGATTCAAGCCTCATAAATGAGAAGCATGCTTTATTCCTTATGCCAGTATTTAGGACAACGTAAAATACTTTAAATCAGCAAGGAAATATGTTTTACTTCTAAAGAAATAAGCTGAACACAAAGTGTCTTCATTGGTTCTCTTATTAGCAAAAGTTACATTTAAAAAATAGCTTATTATGTTTCAGGGACAATCTCCGTGCATCCTCAGAGCCTAGAATGATGGGCTGCTACCCTGTAGGCACTCAGTGCCTGCTGGCTGATGAATGACAGATTATTTTTTTTACCGTAATCTTTGTAACAGTCGTGTTCACGAAGATTACGGGACATAATGCATGTTATTCATGCATATAAACTCTGTGGGTGGGTATTATATCCTCTGTTTCAGAAATGAGAAAGGTTATTTAACTTTCTCTGCTTACAAAGCAAATAAGGCAGTAAAAGAGATTGGAAGACAGCCCTCCTTCTGCCCTTGGCCTGGGTACAGTAACCCCGTAAGCCGCTGGCTTGGGTTTCTCTTCCCCGGCTGTGAAAGGGATCCCGTTACCCTGTACTGAATGAATCCATTTGAAGACAATTCGTGCAGTCCTCGTGCTTCTTTCCTTCTGCAGAGAGAAAGGATACGTCCTCCCTGTGCAAGGCTGACCTTGAAACATCTCACCTTAACAGTTCATCTCGGGTCTCACAGTCGAGGCTCAGGCTCACTGTCTTTTTTTTTTTTTTTTTTTTTTTGCGGTACGCGGGCCTCTCACTGTTGTGGCCTCTCCCGTTGTGGAGCACAGGCTCCGGACACGCAGGCCCAGCGGCCATGGCTCACGGGCCCAGCCGCTCCGCGGCATGAGGGATCTTCCCGGACCGGGACACGAACCCGCGTCCGCTGCATCGGCAGGCGTACTCCCAACCACTGCGCCACCAGGGAAGCCTAGGCTCACTGTCCTTTAAACTTCCCCTCTCTGAGGGTCCGAGGCCCGCCCCCTCGCTCTGTCACCCCTGCACTCTGTGCTTGTTCTTTGGCACAAGCTCGTCCTTTCTGGAACGCGCGGCTTCGGAGCCCTTTCGGGCCGGAGGCCACGTGCACGGCCGAGGCACGCCGCCTGCTCCCGGGCTGGGGCCCCTGGCCTCGCCCTGCCCCCCGCAGGCCCCTACCTTGTAGACGTCCAGCTCCCCGCACTGCCGGTCGAAGCGGGTGTAGAGTGCGTTGAGCATGGTGATGACCTGCAGCGGGGAGCACTGAGAGCAGATGGCCGTGAAGCCCACGATGTCCGAGAAGAGCATGGTGACGTCGCCGAACCGCTTGGCCTGCACGGCTCGGCCCTGCCACAGCTGCTGCGCTACCTCGGAGGGGAAGATGGAGCACAGGAGGTCCACCGTCTTCCGCTTCTCCTCCTCCAGGGCCTGGTGGGCCTGCTCCAGCGTGGCCTTGAGCTTGCCCAGCCTCTTCTTCAGGCCGTCCTGCGCCCTGGCCTGCTCTCCGATCAGGACCACGTCCCGCAGTGCGTTGTGGATGGGGATGTCCGAGAGGTAGAGCCCCCGGCCCGTGAAGTCCTCCAGTCTGTCCACACAGGGCGAGCCCAGGAACAGGATGGCGCTGGACTCCACCATGTAGATCATCTGGCCTTTGAGGTCCATCACCTGCGTAGGAAGAAGCACCAACCGTTGTGGCCTAGTCAAGTTCCCAACACCTTTTTGAGACAAAAGGTGAGGCGGGTACAGGGATAATCCCCTTGGTTTTTGTGGCTGTACCGTGAGGCTTGTGGACCTCAGTGCCCCGACCAGGGATCGAACCTGTGCCCCCTGCGGTGGAAGCGTGGAGTCTTAACCCCTGGACCGCCAGGGAGGTCCCTCCTTTTATTTTTAGACTTGATTTTTTTCTACTGGTCAACAAAAACAATATGCTTTCTTATCGTTGCAATTTACTATGAATTCTAAAATGCATGCAGACATTTGGAGAATACACTGCAGTACAGGCTACACAGAAATCATGATTTTCAATCAACAGAGCCCCAAATTCTTGCTTCAGGGCTTTCTCACTATGTGGCACGCTGATGCTTCTGCTACTGCATTCTGTGGACTGCAGCAGAAAGGATGGCACAAGGAGCCCTGAGCGAGGGGGGCTTCGTGTGTTTGTCCTGGATGACAGGGTTACTTGTGTGAATGAGACAAACATGTACATGTGTGTTCACGGCAGTAAAGTGGAGGGCGGCCCAGGTGTCCTTCAATAGTGAACGGTTAAACGGAAAACCACACGATGGGATACGACACGGCCTTTGAAAACGTGGGACAGGTATCTAATGACATGGCAGGAGGCCCACAGGTATCGTTTAGTGATTAAAAAAAAAAAGTTGTAAATAGTATATTTTGTTTTAAACAAAAATATGTATAATTAATGGTTTTGAGTTTGCAATGAACATCTTTAAGTACTACCTATTTTTTAAACACTTGGCTATACTACTTTTATGATAAAAAGTAATAAAGCTGTTTTCATTTGGGGGGGACAGACAGCATGTCTGCTGGTTTACACGTGTCCAGAAGTTAGATGCGTCATAAGCCTTTCTTTGAGCTCGCTTGTACTATCGGCTGTGATTTCCCAAACATTTTTCTAAATCATTACCATGGTTCTCTATTATGAGAGCAGAACATTTTCCCCCACATTCTCTAACAGTTAATCAAACAAGTTATTGATTTTTTTCCATGTCTATTAAATATTGAAAAAATTAAGTCAGCTATTTCATGACTGAAACCATACTTTTACATCAATATTTTTCTAATTCAGTTATACTCCATAAAGATTGTAAAAGGTAGACTGCATTCAACAAATATCTGTGCAGTGATGGCTTAAGTAAGCAAGCAAATGAATGCAGAAAGAATCTTGTCTTAAATTTATTCCACCCTTCGAAGTGTTTTAGAATTGTCTTAAACAGAAATGCTGTATTAAAACATCTCAAGTAATGCGTATATTTTCACCTTTTTTATTGCTAGTCTTTAAATATGAAACAACGGATTCCATATTCACAACAGTGTAACGTTCTTCTTACCCTGGAAGATTTCTTCACGGCGTTGTCCCACCTCCTCACGCGGACCACAAACTGCATGTTCAACATGGTCATGATTCCGCTGAAGGTCTGGCTGATTTTTGGAGTGAGAATCTCGAAGTACTCGTCAAAATGAGGCTTCCCTTGCACGTCTCTCCTGCTCATCAGCCTTCTGATGCCGTTGCCCAACTGCAGGATGGTCATGTCTCTGTCCAGCATGAAATGGAAGGGGAAGGTCTTGCAGAAGAGCGAGGTGGGGATCACCAGCGAGGACGGGGGCTTCCCCGGGGGTGGGGACGGCCGGGGGGTCTTGACGTGGACGGAGTAGAGCAGGCAGGGCTGGTCCATGAACTCGCTGCAGTGCTGGTGGAAGCAGGGAGGCGTCGAGGACACCTCCACTTCGGTCTCGTACAAGATGCGAGCAGCTGCCTTAACGATGCCGGGGAGAATCAGGGAAGTGATCCTCTTGGGGAAGAAATAGTAAACATTTAAGAAATCGGGATCTTTATCCAGGCATAGGATGGACGCGTCCTCAAACCTGCCCTTCTTCTCTGCTTCCTGGCAGTGGCTGCTTTGTCTCAGAAGGGTGCTGAAGCTATTTAAAAAGTCTTTCAGGGTTCCTCCGACCACACCTAGGATGTATTCATCTTCTTCGTAGCATATTTTAAAAAGCTCCTCACCGAGAGATTCTCTGATGATCTCCACTGGGACTCCTGAAAGCATATAATACATTTTCTGCCGTATCAAATGCGCCATCTTAGCAGAGATGTGCTGTTACTGGTTTTAATATTGTTCTATCTGACGAGTTAGTTTGCTTTATATCGGCTAATAAGATTTCCAACCAAAATTAACGGCCCGTGTTTAAATTATCTACATAGTTTCTAAAATTTGGATAACTCCTAATATGAAGCCCAAGTCAGTTAATTACGAAAAAATGATCAACTGAGTGTAATATATGACTTTTTATCTCCCTGAAGCTTAACTATAAAAGATCAATTGGAATCACAGGACCAAGTCCATTTCAGAAAAAGCTCTCCCACCTTGTTAACAACGGAAACGGTGGTACATGTTGCTGAAGGGGTCCCGGCCCCCTTGGAGTATAAGCATCAGATATAGGAATTAATCTAAGTCACCGGTGGTGAAACTCAATTTTGTCATTTTTCCTTAGAGACGATATGAAGTGATTTTTTTCCGAGTAAAATAGCATTCTTGTTTGATGTTACCTGACTGAATAGGTGTTTGGAATATATCTACTTTCCACAGCTTCTCCCTCTAATGTCCTTTGTTCTTTACACTCTGTGTACCACATTCTTCTCATCTGTGACTTAGGGAAACCTGAGTGCCCTGTCCACAGCACTGCCATGGCAGGGTTGGCGGGCACGTTAGGATCGCGCCTGACCCAGAGGAGGGGCTCAGTACAAGTCAGCCATCGCCACTGTCACCATCATCATCAAGTTCTTCCTATCTTGTGCTCTGAGAAACACCTAACCCGTTGGCTCATGTTCTCAAACTTTGGAAGGGACAGTATGACAAAGCCACTCATCTGCTCGTTTCCTCCAAACTAGTATCAATATGAGAGCGCTGCTCACCTTTCTTCCCATGATTGCTTCCAACCTTTAAAAAGATTACTTCTTTTACTTTGCTGAGTAGAATTTTTCATGCATAAATGAGGAACACTTAAAGTTCAAGACCAAAGCCTGTGAATGCCTATGAGTCAGCCTCCCACGCAGCTTTATCTACTTCCCAGCAAATAAACATTGTAAGAACAGGAAATGTTTGAGGCCAAACAAAGACATATAGTACGAAAAAGAGTCATTCTTTGTGTTAACACAAAACATGATATTTAACGGATATCACACTGGAAGCTACCAACAAATAAATATGAATATTTTAAAGAAAATATTTGTTCTCCAGCTAAATATTTTCTAGGAATAGAAAATCTTTGTTTACAGGTAAAACATTAGTTCTACAAGTATAATTATTTCCTAATTGCATATACTTAATTCTATTACCTGCTGCAATCGCTTGGTCTGCCATTATTTTTTCAAAGTCTTCTCTTTCCAAAGATTTCCTGAAATTATTTCAATATCTTAAATTATAAACTGACATGTGAATGCTAAAATTTCAGATTATAACATACAGGAATGATGACAGAAAATAATTTAAATTACCTTTTAATTTATTATCCACTCCTGAGGCAAATCCATTATCCACTCCTGAGGCAAATCTTGACTGTCAAGTTTACAGGAAAGGAGCAGTGACATGTACAAACCCAAAACAATGTTGGAAAAACCCCGAATATACCTGATTTAGAGTGTTTCATCATTTCTTATAAAGTATACTTACCTTTGAAGCTAACTTCATATTGGCTAATAGTATAGAGGCTGTACTGGCAGAAAACCAGTGGTATGAAATGGATGATAATAAGTCAGCATGGGGTTTTCTGATAACCCAACCAAGAAGAAAAATCTCTGTACTGAGGGATTTCATTTTTAAGTAAGTTCTTAATTATTTTCTAAAGCAAATACATAGTACATCCTGCTTTTGAGTTTTTGGTTCTATATATTTAACTCTCAGACATCATCACATTAAACTTTTATCCTTGATCTTACATAAAAATCAGTAACTAAAGAAGCCTATTCCTTATTCAATTTCTGCACTGCTTTATGTAGCACAAAAGTTGATAATATAACAGCATACATTTTGACTGATAGAAGGTTTTTGTAATTTCAACTGGACAACTTGTTGATTCCTGTTTGCCTAATTGTTTTTTGATGATTTCTGATAGTGAAGACTGATTATGACGAAATTTGCCAAACTACTGAAGTATATTAAAAGACACCCAAGTTCTGCTTGTGGTTCAGCTTGCCATTAGACAAGCCAAGAGGAAACAGGCATGAATTTAAAATGTTAAAAAGATTTCAGTAAAGCTTGATACATGTAGAGAAGTTTCAAAAGGAAATATTTTTGAGAAGGAAATTGCTCTGTTGGCTACTTGATCGCATAAAGGTATACTGCTTATAATTATTTAAAATACTAGGTTACTAGAAATATATATTTCTGTATGTTCTTATCTAAATAGTTTGAATTACATCTAGTTTGAATCTAGAGACCCCCCAACCCTTTGTTATATATTATGTTATGTTTTCAGTCTTTACATTTGCTCCTTCTTCTCCCTTAAGCAACTTCTGGGTTTTTTTCTAAAGCTGAGCAAAGCTGCTCAGAGACCTCTTCTGCTAACTTCTGCTAACTCCCAGCAAAGCTTAGCTAATCCAAACAACACATAGTGCGATTCAAAATAAGCTCCCTGGGACTTCCCTGGTGGCACAGTGGTTAAGAACCCGCCTGCCAATGCAGGGGACACGGGTTCGAGCCCTGGTCCGGGAAGATCCCACATACCGCGGAGCAACTAAGCCTGTACACCACAAGTACTGAGCCTGTGCTCTAGAGCCCGCGAACCACAACTACTGAAGCCCGCGCACCACAGCTACTGAAGGCCACGAGCCACAACTACTGAGCCTGTGCGCCACAACTACTGAAGCCTGTGTGCCTAGAGCCCGTGCTCTGCAACAAGAGAATCCACCGCAATGAGAAGCCCGTGCACTGCAACGAAGAGTAGCCCCCGCTCGCTGCAACTAGAGAAAGTCCAAGCGCAGCAACGAAGACCCAATGCAGCCAAAATAAATAAATTTATTTAAAAAAACCCAAAAAACAAAATAAGCTCCCTCTCTTTACCCTCAAAAAAAAAAAAAAAAACACACAAAAAACGAGAAGGTGTAAGCCTGCATGGACACCAGCAAATGTGCATATATTGTACACAGAGACACACACACCAGCCACAAGTTCACACGTGATGCTGTGATGTGATCAAAAGGTCCTAGAAAAAGAAACACACCCAAAGCTCTCTGTGCAACCAACCTAAAGAGGTATCATAACGGGTTGTACTAAAACTCATTCAGTTAACAGAGGTGGCGGACGGGGCAGTTAAGGTACCCTCAGCGGGTAGCAAACTGACTGCAGTAGAAACAGCAGCTGACCTGCCAGAAGGATGGGGAGAAAGGCCCAATGTCCCGAAGAACTAAAAAAGACAGCAGAGAGAAGCCATTTAGCATATCAGCAGGCAGTCTCATAAGAAAGAAGGTCCTTCATCTTATTTCAACAGTGGAATAGTGATGAGGACAATTTGAAAGGGTGAGCAACTCTAAGACGTCAGGGAAGTGGTAATAGATTTTTTTAAATTTCCAAATAAAATCACTTTTGTAAGTTTTGAGAATTTGTTTAAAGAGATACGTCTCTGGGAACACATCCTAACTGAATATCTGCACCTAGCTTGGGCGCATCTCAGGACACAAGGCCCTGAGGATAGATTCTGAGTAAACTGTCTGACGAAGCCCTAGGCAGACAGACATAGGAGCACAGCTACAGGACTTGTTGGCTGTCTTATCAGCCCGACTGAGAAGTAAGGTCAGAGGCGTTCTGGAATGCTTTCCATATCACTCTGTAAACACAGCTTCTGTCAGACACATAGATTCACACCCTCTCTTTTTGGACCTGTCTCTGACCCCTTCTTGGCTTTGCCTGCTGCCTACAGTGTGGGACCAGTTAGTCAGCAAGGGAGATTCAGCCCTGATAATCTGCAGAGCCGATTATCCACTCCTGAGCGGCAGACAGATGAGTGAACTTGTAAAATATTCCCAACAATGATACCGGTTTGCAAAACTTCCAAGTTCAATTCTGAAAATTTGAACTCAAGTGTTTATTGTATTATTTGCACATGAAATAATCCTTTGATTTCAGGAAAACCAAAACAAGGCCAAATCAAGTTGTCCACCGGCAGTAAATGAGCCGAGATGTATTTTTAAAATGAACTCTAAAAGTCAGGTTGTTTTTTTTTTAAAAAAATTACCTTATATATGAAACGGCTACAGAAAGCTTTCTTAAAGAAAATTTCAAAGACAGAGTAGAAGAACAAATACAAACGGAACTGGTACTCGCACACCAGTATAACCGAACCAGTTAGGAAAATACCGAAACACGTCCCTGAGTACTGCCCCAAACCCCTGAGTGGTCCTCCTCTTGCCCCTGTATCCTTTTCCGTCCTCCTGATGTAGGAGCTGAAAGTTTAACCTGTGGTCGAGGCTATGGGGGAGGGACAGGCAGGCCCCAGCCTCTCGGCAGTGTTCTTCAAGCAAGGACTCTGCTCTGACCCACGCCTTACCTTTGTAGAACATTTCAGAATATCCCTTGCTAGGAAAGAACAGGCCTTCTGGGAGCTTATTAAAAGCAACAGCACAGGGCAACATGGTTAAAATCATGGGCTCTGAAAAACCCAGGCTTGAAACTCAGTTCTGCCTTTGCCTGAAGAGCTCTACGAGCCCAGCTATTTTACAGGAACCTGAGCTCAGTGATATATAAAATGTGAAAAATGATACACTTGCTTTCATATGAGTGTTAGCCCAGCTCCCGGCGCACCAAAATGATTCAAAACACACGCATACATCACTCAGTGCTGGTTATTAGTAGCTGTGTCAGCGATTGCAACCGGAGATTCACGCAACTAAACTGATTCAACTTACCTGCTTTCCTTTATTTTGTGTTTTGCCAGTGTTCTCTGAAGGGCAAGGTTCAGCCGCTCAAACTGAAAATTGAAAAGTTTTAAACATTCCCTTAAATAATCATATTCTTGAAGATACATACTTTACAGAAAATTGGTGCTGAAAGCTCCTTATGAAGGAGCAGAAACAGTTACTTTAATAAGTGCAGTGAATTGACACTGTGGGAAAGGGGATAGATTTTCTATGGGCTTTTCACACTTGGGCAGAAGCAAAGCTCTCAGACTCACTTGAGTCTGGATGTGGGCTTTGCCCTTGGTGGGCGCTCACTGACAGCCACAGAGCTGGAATCAAACAGGAGACCTGGTTTGGTGAATTCAAGCCTTCGTGGAGGAATCGCGGGCACCCCTTCCTCGGGGGCCAGAAACCCCTTGGGTGTGTGGCCAGGACTTCAGTCTCAGGGGCGCTCAAGCCAAGAGACTCACACTCCTTCCACAGACCCACGCCGGCTACCCCAGTGACTGCCACCCTTCCCACAAACCCACATTTCTGTCTCATGTACGGTTTACGTGTCCTGCTCTAGAAAACTCCCGAGTTTGTCTCTCCCCTTTCTTTTATCCCTTAAATCCAATCTGTCACCAAGGTCGGTTGATCACTGATTGAAACAAATCTCAGATTTCCCCGAACTTGCACTCATTTCCTTTCTTTGAACGAATAATCTTCACCAAATACTTGCAGTGTTCTTCTCTTCTATTGATTTCTGAGTATCTCATGAATCTTCCTAGATTGCAAAACAGTTGTACATAAGCCTGCATAGTTTTAAACACTGGCTTCAATACTATTAATCTCTCTTAACAGCTTGTTGATAAGTGGGAAGTAAAGCACTGGTAATTTCTTTGCATTCCGTAACAAAATCATACGTATCTATGTGTGTATATAGCCACCAGTGCTTTGTGTAGTTTACGCAGAGGACAGTGGAGAATTCTCTGGCTATATCCCAAGTTGTGAAATTCCTTTTTCCTTGAGAACTATTTATATTTCTCTTGGAATTTCCACTGGTCAAGTGAGACAGTAAAGTTAAGCAAAATAGACCAAGCTTCTGTTTTAATAAAATGAGTTATGAAAATAAATTTTGGTGTTTTTTAAAAATTTATTTATTTATTTTTGGCTGCGTTGGATCTTCATTGCTGCACGCGGGTTTTCTCTAGTTGCGGCGAGCGGGGTCTACTCTTCGTTGCGGTGCGCGGGCTTCTCATTGCGGTGGCTTCTCTTGTTGCAGAGCACGGGCTCTAGGCGCACAGGCTCAGTAGTTGTGACACGCGGGCTCAGTAGTTGTGGCTTGTGGGCTCTAGAGCGCAGGCTCAGTAGTTGTAGCGCACGGGCTTAGTTGCTCCGCGGCATGTGTGATCTTCCCAGACCAGGGCTCGAGCCCATGTCCCCTGCATTAGCAGATGGATTCTTAACCACTGCGCAACCAGGGAAGCCCCAAAACTTTTGGTTTTTAAAGAGCATATAGAGCTTAGAAAAGAAATGTGAAGTTTCTTGAAAGAAAATGCAAGGGCTGAAAAGAAAGGAGAACTTAGATTTACCACGTAGAACCATTTTTCTGACGGTTCCGGTAAGGAGAGAGAGGACACATCTGCCTCAGGAGGAAAGAAGGGCTGGAACAGTGGGCAGATTCCGACCAAGGGCCGGATGCCTGGCAGGTGGGGAACGGCTTTGGGAAGAGAAATGGGGGCCTGTTCCTCAGAGCCCTTGAATCGGGGAAGGAGGAAGGGAACATTAAACCCGAGACCGTAAACAAGGCAGATCAGCTGGGGGTGCTCAAGAATCTTCAGTATCTCAAGGGCCTTTTTTCTTCTCTCATATATTGCTTTTTACGTCCATAAGCTATATTTTTTTCAGTGAAACCCTTAAAGTCCGTGGATTTTTAATTTTCAGTAGCTCTTTCCAAATTAATTTCATAGAAGTTTGTAGCAATTGGCACTCATCAGTTATATATGCGACTGCCAGTTTCAGCTCCGCCCCATCCATCTTTCCCTAAAACCTATTCATACGGGAAGAGGGGTCAGCCGCGTAATGAGGGTCACTGCCTCTGCACGAGCCTGTCTTTCAGGCATTTGCTACCTGACATTTGTTTCTCATTTTCTGTCTTCTCCACTAGAATAGAGACTCCAAAATGGCAGGGAATACCTGTTTTGCTCACTACTGCATACCCAGCACCTAGATAGTACCTGACCATGGGAGACGCTCACTACAGTGATGGGATGGATGAATGAATGAATGAATGACCATCACCCCCATGCCCCCATCAGCTATTCAGTCTCGAAGGCTTGGTCTATAACATTTCTATCAGTGAGGAGATATAAGCCAGTACAGAGGTGTTGCTCTTTCAGCTTGTTCAAAAATGGATTTAGATTGTTTCCAATTTAAAATAGTTTGATTACATTTGTTTATATATGAATTGCTGCTCTGACCAGCAACTTCGCATGAGCAATGAGAAAAGAGAATCCATCCAATTCTGGCACCAAAGACTTTTTCCTTCCTCGCCCCGAGCGCTAGTTGAGACACCACCCTTCTCTCTCCTCCTCTTGACCTTTCGGTTAAAACACCAGGTACATGGTTTTATCCTTGCCAGTCTGTATTCTTCCTGGTTTTTCATTTCCTTCCCACTGCAACCAGGAACTTCTTTTTCTAGTCCTTTCCTCCTAGCATATATGCTGCCATTGTAAGAAAGGAGAAATGGTCCCTCTCTCATTGCTGGGATTGGTGGAGCAGGTGTCTTCCTGACTTTCCATGTTGAATCAGAACTTAGGCCCTGCTGTACAGCACAGGGAACCCTACTCAATACTCTGTAATGACCTATACGGGAAAAGAATCTGAAAAAGAATGGATATATGCACATGGATGACTGAATCACTATGCTGTACACCTGAAACTAACACAACATTGTAAATCAACTATACTCCAATAAAATTTAAAAAAAAAAAAGAATTTTTTTTTCTAAAGAGGAAAGTCCCAAAGTCCTAGCCAAGCTACAGTAGCATAAGTTGGTGATACTGTGGCTTACCAGGCTTTCCTGTCTACTTTCATCACCCACCACTGCACCTCTGGAAAATTGTTATAAATTCAAAACAAGACAAAACAAAAGCAACAAGCTTTTCAGACAAAACATGCATTGGTAAAGGCTGCTGGTGCGTAGTTTCCTACCTCGGTGCTAGGGCTTCTACAATACAACCTGAGCCTAGACCCTGAGATGACGCAGTTCACAAGAAATCCACGAACAGGACTCAACGTTCCTGAGACCTCAGGCCTCATGACACAGAATCAATCACTGCAGGACAGCCCTCGAGGACACTCATATATTAATACCTCAGGTTCAACTGCTGTTTGATGCAATATTGTTGGGAACACTCTGAATGGAATTTCATTGCTCTGGTTTATGGATATGTTGCTATTTCAGTTGATTTTTAACTTTTCTACAGTTTTTTTTTTGGCCTGGAGGCTATATTAAGAAAGTTTATTTTTATGTTAGAGCCATGAAAAGTCATTGAAAGGTTTTAAGTATGGCAGGAGCTGGGATGGGGTGTTTTCTACAGTTTTTAATGATTTTCTAGACCAAGGATATTTCCCTCATAAGGATGTTGTAAAACTGCTTCTCTTTTTTTCTTCTTGCAACCCAATATTTTGCAGCACATTTAGAGACTTCAGGAGTGCCCTCAGACCCTCTTAATCTCACAAGGTCTTGGATTTGGGATGATATCCTTTATATAAGCATATCTGACTCAATTGATTCAATTCAGGAAGTGGGTTCTGATTTGCTACAACTGTGGCTAATACCATATCATAATTTCTTTAAAGACATTCTGCCTGAGGAGCTTACAGGATTACTGGGGAGAATATTCAAGAAAAATCAGCTAACAATGTAACAGAAAGAGCAACAGATTACGAATGAGGTGCAGAGGATATTCCAGTCTCCTCAGTTATCTTTTACTTAAAGCAAGTGGCCTTTTATGTGTTAATTTCTTCAAACTAATGAAAAGTTTGCATTAGATGAGCAAAAGGACTTCTGTAACCTATGATTCCACAACTCTGGAAAGCCATCTCCCACCCTAAATCTGCTAAGGATATACTTGTCCCCCCATAAAACATAATTGGGGAGTTAAATCTGATTATCGAAAGCAAGAACTAGGGTGCCATCAAATACTATTTGGAGTCTCTTCCTTTGGGTTACTGATAGAACTGAAACTGAACAGTAGGCTAAGCATTAAATCTGTCCCCTTAAAAAGAATCGGCTAAAAAAAAAAGTCCTACTTAATCAAAGACACGTAGATGTTCGGACAGGGGATGAAGTAATCTACACGGCCCTGGGACGTTCCCTGCTTTAATGAAAATGGCCTCAGTTGTGGGAAAAGAGTCCTGGTCCTTGATGCCAAGGGTCAACCTCCTGCCTCTTGGAAGGCCTACGTCCTCGCCTTCCCTGCTACATGACAGCGCAGTCAAACCTTGATGATTATTCCTGTGAGCTCACGAACAAACAACACAGATCCTTCTAAGTAAAGAAAAGGAAAACAGGAACATACATGTTTGGTGTTCAGAATGTTTTGAAAAGAGGTTCCAACATGTGTATGACTTCTATTGTAGGAACTCAAAACTTATCAAACAGAATAATGACGCCAACATGGTAATGACAAGACCCAGGGAAAGCATGGAAGGTCTCCAGCCATCCATCCTCACCATCTGTTCATCCCTGTGCATCACGCTCTGTCCTTAGAAATGAGAGTACCAACCGCTTCCCAGACTGTGATACCAGCCACCTGCCTGAGAAGGGCTACATCCCTCACCCCAGCCAAAGCTGGCTGGCTGGTGACTGGAGCAGGGAGAGAATAATTAAATATTTCCATCTCAAAGGCCACGAACCAAAGTACTACTGTGTTTTTTTATATTTGACATAAGTTCCCTCAACGTCCTGCTAATTCTAATTTATCCATCCTTCAAGACTTCCATTCAAGTCTCTTCTTTGTCACTCGAGTCCGTATTGTTGACAGCAGTAATTGCTCTATCCTTCCAAAGCTGTGTGACTTTGGTCAAGTCACTTAGCCTCTCACTTAGCAAGTCACTTAGCCCACTTACTTCCCAAGAAGTAAAGTCCTTCTTGGGAGTGAAACAAGTTTCTCTCTGACGTCCCTTCCACTCCTAAAAGTCACCAGTCTGTGGTTCTTCAGTGCTCCACACAGGCACAGGGGTGGTGTGGAGTCAAATGAAACTCATCCGTGGATGATGAGAGCTGGAGCCTGATCACGTCAGTCCCCAGCCTCCCAGTTGATGCGAATTTATATAAAACCGTGAACACTCACAGAGGGAGGAAGACGCACCATGAAGCCTTTCAGTGGCTCTTCTCTTTGACCCCAAGGGGCAATGAACCCTCCACATGCCCCATCCATTGCAAAGATATTTTACCTGGTCTATGCTCTGTCCCCAGGTTCTTTTTCCCCCCGTTTTATTGGGAACTAACTGACATACATCACTGTCTGAGCTTACAGGGCACAGCAGGACGGCCTGATTTACATAGAGTGAATAATTACCACAAGAGGTTCAGCTAACATCCCCCTTCTCCTATAGATACAGTAAAAAGAACAGAAAGAAAAACAAAGTCTCCTTGTGATGAGGACTCACAGGATTCGCCTAATGACTTTCCTACACATCACACAGCAGGGCCAGGTGGTCACTTATCTTATAACTGCCAGCCTGTACTTTCTATGAGTTGTTGTTGCTGTTCTTAAGATTCCACATACAAGTGAGACCTTACAGCATCGGCCTTTCCAGAATTCCCTTACGGGCTGCGCTCCACATCTCAAAACGGCATCAGGCCGTGCAGCCCAGCCCACAGAGCTACATCAAGATGTGTCTGAGGGCTTCCCTGGTGGCGCAGTGGTTGAGAGTCTGCCTGCCGATGCAGGGGACGCGGGTTCGTGTCCCGGTCCGGGAGGGTCCCACATGCTGCAGAGCGGCTGGGCCCGTGAGCCATGGCCGCTGAGCCTGCGCGTCCGGAGCCTGTGCTCCGCAACGGGAGAGGTCGCAACAGTGAGAGGCCCGCGTACCGCAAAAACAACAACAACAAAAAAAGATGTGTCTAAGCTGAGGGCAGGTGGGTGCCACGGGCAGGCCCGTGACCCTGGCTCAAGGAAGCAGGCCAGGCCTGGCGTGAGTGGAGACTTCAGACTCTGAACCAGCAGGACGTGGCGGTCTTCCCAGCTCAGCAAGTTGCCAGGGAACAGATGATGCTCTTAGGAAAACCCAGCAGGGAATAAGTTATTCTTCAAGGAATTCAGTTCTAAAAATATAGCTAACGGATCCATAAAAACTAGCTTGGCATCCATGAGTAGAAAATGGGTCCTTGTGGGTGGCGAGAGCTGTGGATCAGCTCACCGAATGCCCGTGCAGACTCCAGGTGTGAGCATTTCCATTTTCAGGTACGGATGCTGAGGCCAAAGGGTGAAGCAGCGGCTCAAAGCCATGAAGCCTGTCAGAGTGCAGGATGCTTTGGAAGAGCACGCCAGATTTTAAACATTTTCAGATTAAACACAATTTAAGAAAATGACTGCCTTAAAAAAATGTTTTTAAATGTTTCCAGAAAACAGTCTACATCGACTGTAGCCTTGAAAGTGAGAAAGCAAGCGTTCACATTGTCCTTAGGAAAACGTCCTTTTGCCATTTTCAAAATATCAGTAAAATCTCGAAAGGCCAGGGACTCACCTCCGGGAAAATCAGTTTGCAGATACTCTCGGCCAGAGTGTGCAGGTAGACGCGGCTGCGGCTACTCTTCCTCTGAGGAAGCCCTCCGGGCGGCTTCTTCGCGGGGTCGCCGGGGCAGAGGCCCTGCCCTCCGGCCGGAGCTGCGGGCCCGCCCCCTGCCGCCTCGCCCGCGGGCTCTTTGGGGACAGGGCCCGGGCCCAGCAGCGAGAAGGGGCAGTCCCCCGTGATCTGCAGGTCTTTCAGCTTCGCGCAAAACATGGTGATCACCTCCTGGCGGCTGTTCTTAACGGGGACCGACCCACGGAAGCCACTACGGGACCAGGGACACTGGTGACGGGAGCGTCCAGAGGCAGCAGAAGGTCAGAACAGAAAGAGGGGCGACTCTGGATTCCTACGGAAACAGAGAAAGGCAGGTGTGAGAAAGCAAAGACCATCCAGTGCTATGTCACTTTCAAGTAAGAAAAATTCTGGTGCAAACGTCAATGAATGGACGGAACATCTGGTAAAGATCTTGATTTAATACAGATGCATCCTAGTATACTAGTACTTCCTTTTAGTATTTTAATATTGTTCAAACGGAATGCAATTTTCTCCAAAATGTCTTTAGCACAAACTACTGATTCTCATTTTTATAGCCCATTTGGTCCTGTGTAATTCCACAAGAGTGAAACACTAGGGTTTTATGGCAGACGCTGAGTCTCCATCTATGTCATGTCACTGCTGGTACTGCTACGTTCTCATTGTGCTGTCTCTTCTGAAAAATCAGAATCGCATGTCTAATGTCTCCTAAACATACCTAAAGAAAAAAATGTATATAATGAGGCCCAAGTATATGTGATTCGATCTGAAACACTGACTTTTACAAGAAAAGAATTACATGAAAAAAATTAATTGAAATGATTACTGGCAAAGAATATACTTGTCTCTATAAATAGTAAAATAACTTAAAAATATCACCAAAATGAAAACCACGTAATAGTTTTTCAAAGAACTCCTGATTCCTAAGACCATGCCATTGGATTTGCCAGGGTCTCTGGATCCGAATCCAGACAACACCGGGGTAAACCAAGAAAGCCTCTCTTCCAAGGGGTCCCTGAGGTCACCCGCACGGCCCTTCTGGCTGACTTTCCCTCTTACTTTTGTTTTTGTTGATGTTCTCACTGAGTCTCCACACAATTCACAACCCACGTCTCATTAGTTACTTTTCAGTGGAACCGTGTGGTTGTAAATTCAGCTTATCAACAGTACAATGATCTTGGGCTTCCCTGGTGGCGCAGTGGTTAAGAATCCGCCTGCCGATGCAGGGGACACGGGTTCAAGCCCTGGTCCAGGAAGATCCCACATGCCGTGGAGCAACTAAGCCCATGAGCCACAACTACTGAGCCTGCACTCTACAGCCCGCAAGCCACAGCTACTGAGCCCGCGAGCCTCAACTAATGAGCTCGCATGCCACAACTACTGAGCCCGCATGCCTAGAGCCCATGCTCTGCAACAAGAGAAGCCACCGCAATGAGAAGCCCATGCACCACAATGAAGAGCAGCCCCCACTCGCCGCAACTAGAGAAAGCCCGTGAGCAGCAACGAAGACCCAATGCAGCCAAAAATAAAAATAAAGAAAATAAATTTATTAAAAACAAAAACAGGGCTTCCCTGGTGGTGCAGTGGTTGAGAGTCCTCCTACCGCTGCAGGGGACACGGGTTCGTGCCCCGGTCCGGGAAGATCCCACATGCCGTGGAGCGGCTGGGCCCGTGAGCCATGGCCGCTGAGCCTGTGTGTCCGGAGCCTGTGCTCTGCAACGGGAGAGGCCACAGCAGTGAGAGGCCTGCGTACCGCAAAAACAAAACAAAACAAAACAAAACAAAACAAAACAATGATCTTGATTAGCTTGGGTCCACCAACTATTTCCATACTTGGAAAATCAAAAAGCACAAAAAAACTGATAAAGAACCCATGGTTACTTAACCCCACTAAGTGCCTGGTACAGGGCTGGGGACTCTGTATTTACATTTAAGCCGCACAGCAACCACTGGGAATAGGTATTATTATCTCCAATGGGCCAGAGGCTCAAAGTTTGGGTCATTCCATTTGAGATGCTAGAAAGTGCCAGAACTAGGGTTCAAATGTAGGTCCACCTGACTCCACAGCCAGTGCCTTTCGATGGACCCAAACTCATACTTTACCAAGTGAGACTGGCTTCTAAATAATCAGGCTTAGTTTATACAGTAGGATTAGTTTATCTTAAAGATACGGTTCTTAAGTTTACATTAGAAAGCAAACAAGAGCATAATTCTCCTGCTCACTGGCTCGTGGTACCTGAATCATCCGGGATAAAATCTTATGTCATGGGTATGTAGAGCTGCTTCACCTTGTGTAGAGCAGAAACTAGCGCACCATTGTGAAGCAATCATACGCCAACAAAGATGTTAAAAAAAAATCTTATGTTTCGGTCTTTGGAACCGGAGTTCGATTATTTTGTCGTCTTTTCTATGCCCCTCCGTGCTCTCAATATGTTCCTAGTATGTATAAGCATCAGCTTGTCACTTGTCACAGATAAGTTACTAACAAGCTTATAACAATGGACAATTCACTTCCTAAGCTGGGACAAATAAGGAAGCTAAGTTCACATCTGACAGCCCCTGGGGTGTTGCTGGGTTATCGGGTTTGAGGAAGATGATGGATGCTGACTGGCCAGAAGAAGCTGCCAGGACTCTCTGTTTTTCTTTTTTAAAATTTTTATGTTATATTGGACTACAGTCGATTTACAATGTTCTGTTAGTTTCAGCAAAGTGACTCAGTTATACACATATAGACCTATTTTTTCACATTATTTCCCCTTACAGGTTGTTACAAAATATTGAGTAGAGTTCTCTGTGCTCTACAGTAGATCCTTGTTGGTTATCTATATAGTAGTGTGTGTATGTTAATCCCAAACTCCTAACTTATCCCTGTCCCCCGCCTTTCCCCTTTGGTAACCATAAGTTTGTTTTCTATATCTGTGAGTCTGTTTCTGTTTTGTAAATAAGTTCATTTGTATCATTTTTTTAAGATTCCACATATAAGTGACTCTCTGTTTCTTAAAGTCAAACCCCAAATCTGTGATCACACGTCATTCTTTTTTTGTTTTGTTTTGTTTGTTTTTGTTTTTGTTTTTTTGCGGTACGTGGGCCTCTCACTGTTGCGGCCTCTCCCGTTGTGGAGCACAGGCTCCGGACGTGCAGGCTCAGCGGCCATGGCTCACGGGCCCAGCCGCTCCACGGCATGTGGGATCTTCCCAGACCGGGGCACGAACCCATGTCCCCTGCATCGGCAGGCGGACTCTCAACCACTGCGCCACCAGGGAAGCCCGATCACACGTCATTCTTATTCTGCGGGCAGAGAAGAGGGCACTGTCTCCGTCAGCGGGCTGCTGAGTGGCCCAAAGGTAATTTGGTGATGCAGGAACGGTTACTTGGATTCTGAAAAACCTACAGATCTAGGGCTCTCAACCAGGCTTCGTTTAAGATTCAATTCTACAAGTGTCTGCTTCTCAGTCTTTAATGTATCTCAACATAACTGTTACTGTTTACTAATTCCTGTCCTCACACACACTGTAGATCAGGGTCAAACCTTCCTGTAAAGGGCCATAGGTCACTTCAGCTTTGCAGTCAGTGGCTGGCAGGAAAGCAGCCACAGCAGATACACAGAGGGCCGGGCATGGACGTGTTCCCATAAAAACAGGCTGCGCTGGGCCCACAGGCCATAGTGTGCTGACTGCTGTTTGCAAAAAGCTGAGCAAATTAACTGAAGCATTTTAATCCAAATATAATTTTGACTATAGGGTCAGAGTTACTTCCTCACCTCTTCTCCCCATCCCACCCCTAAAATAGAGAACCTCTGTGGATCCAGTTCTGTACAACTTGAAGATAATAAAGGAGAGTATAGTAGATACCATTAAGTAAATATTCATTCACAAAAATTATAATACCATTATTTCATATGAATTTTTAGGAAGAAGAACCGTATTAATTGAATGCCATGGTTTCAGTTATGTAAACATATAGTATAATAACTAGAAAAGAGGGCACTCATAAAAAAAAGGCCACAAAAAATACAGGATTATATGTTGCAGCCGATGCACGTCTGGAATTTCTTCCCCAAACAAGTTATCCTGGTACCTATTAGAATTTTAGTATTGGACCTAGGAGTTTGCCATAATGTAGTTTATGAAAATTCTTCCATTATGCTTAATCTTCTCATTTAAACTGGATTTCAACTCCTGTCCCCAAACCCAATATTTTACCCTCATCTTCTCTTCAATCTCACTAGAGCAGGATACAACTGACCAGTCAACGTTCCTGGAAATTCCTTCTTCTCCGAGATGGCGCAATGCTCTAATTTCCAGCCAATGTGCCTAACATGGTTTTTCTTTATTAAACTAAAAACAGCGACCGGAAACAAGTTGTGCATACTTCAAGATCACTTAAGTGTTTAGTCTCATTAAATCACATATGTATCAAGGAACGAATTAGCATCCTTCGTCTGCTCAGCTGATAAGATTACACTATGAACAGATGCACCCAGTGCTGATACCTCGGAAACCCGTGTTTGTCTTGCGTTTGCCAGGAAGACAGACTACGTTCTTCAACACAACGAACGATGATTTTTACGTGCAACATCAGCAGCAACTTCAGAAATGGTTGGGTCAGTTCCTGAATCCAGTACAGAGCTGGGTGTAGAGATGGTAGTGACAGGGGAAGGAAAAAACAAGTGAATCAAAGTGATAAATTTGGTGACAAGGCCTTGGCAAGCAGTGGGAGAGAGATTCTCAGAAACTCGGAGGGGTATTTGCCATCCCCAGGGTTGATGATTAAACGGCCTCCAAGTCCATTGACTGCTCTCTCACTTTACTGGTAAGTGATTAACTCCACTAGGGTGAGAAGAGAGACCCATGTACTGGCCTCAAATTAATAACCGGGAGGCAGAAAGAGTGTGTGCATAACTGATTCACACTGCTGTGCACCTAAAACTAACACAGCATATGGCAAAGCAACTAGACTCCAATAAAAATTTAGAAAAGTAATGAGGATGCCTTGCTGTGCAGGTAATGGGGTTCTCCATCATGAACCTCCAGCAGAGAATGAAGCGCAAAACCCTTGTTTCCACATGTAAAAAAAAACCTGAAGAAAGCACCCTATGCATACTCTATCACACAGAAAGCCTGTTTTCCAACAGCAGGTCATATGCCAGACTTAGCGCCCAGCCATGCCGAAACCTGTGATTCAAGAAATGAAAGTGTTTTAAGATTAAATTCCAAAGTCCAGCTTTTGAAGAGTAGCTGAAAGAAGAGAGAACTTCAAAACAAACTGCCTCGGTAAGGATAAAGTGTGCCAACCCCGGCCCAAGCTGTAGCA